ATTTGTCCAACAGTAACCACATAAGAATATGTTGAATATCGTACAACATTGTGTATATCTGTATTCGAATTTCCTCCCAGATAATTCGAGTTCACAGCTTCATCCCAATATTTGTCGTCGGTTTCTATTCTGTTGAAGAAGTCTTTCGACAAACCCAACAAGAAAAAAAAAAAATAAATAAACTCCATTGGTAACATTACTCCTGTATCCTATACCAGAACTCTGGTCTCATATTTTATGCTCCGAACTCTATGTCCTTTTCTTTGCTGGAAAATGTGAAGTTGTGTGAGTGTAGGGAACCGCCCGGATCTACTAATATCTAATGTACTACTTGTACACTTAGCAAGCATTTTACCCTATTTGTAAGGCGTMATAATAAACATTTTGTGGGTTGCCAATTGTCAAAGAATGGGTTAGGCTTAATCAGCTCAGCACCGTGTGTCTACCTCAGGAAATAGAATACCACGTTATTTTAACGGCTCATAGAACCAATGATTGTTKTYTTTTTTCATTTTCATTTTATCAAGTCACACAAGTTACTTTGGTAATTATTATTGTTATTAAGATTATTKAAAAAATTCACCTTCTRAAAAACAAMATGCTGAAAAAATATTCRTTGWAARATCATCTTCTCAGATGAGGCCTGTTTTCGGGGTCAYTAACGGAAGGAAACGCAATTGCATTCTCAAAAATTGGACCATTTGCTGAGGATTCTAGTATTGTGGGATCATAAGTTCTCTACTYCTTCGAAATTAGGCAGAGAATACTGTTACCATCAATAGTGAGCAATATAACACGATGTCGATCGTTTTTTATGAAATCAACTCAAATATCTCTATTTCCAACAAAATGGTACGCAGCTTCATGTTTCACTTCTAAACATGGACACATTGTGTGCAAAGTTTGACGACTCGTGAATTTCGAAAATTGGCACAGTCAAAGGGTCGTCAAGATCATGTGATTTAACGCSCTAGATTATTTTAAGAGAGTTGAATAGGATTTAACTAAGAGTAGAGGGATTGAGAACAGCAACAACTCTCTATAAAATTTGTTGCAAAATAAATTCAAATGGCTTTGTAATTTGATTATGAAAAGTTAGTATACGAAATAAAATTTTACTGCTCTTGGAAATATGCAATATATAATTAACTGTTTAAAAATATCTGCATACTTTTAGGAGAAAATAAAAACCTAGTTCGATATAATGTTAAAAATGTGTGTTACTCTTTGATTTGATAAAAAATTCTATACAATGTAAATTATCTTATATTTTTACTCACTGAACTGGTTATATTAAGTTTGCTACAAAGTYTGTAACACCCGGAAGGAAAAGTCGKWGACCYTATACRTACARTGTATGTATAAAAATCATGATTAAGCCCCATTAAATATTGTATAAACAAAAATGTCATTGATCTAGCTGTGAAAAAACGATTGTTGACCTGGCTAAATGTATTCAAAGGATGTTTACTTGGCTAAATGTATTCAAGGGTTGCTTACTTGGTTAAAGGTAAACAAAGCAACATTGAGGCCTTAAACAATTTAAGCAAAGGTCATTGACTTTAAAGCACGTAAAGGTTGCCGACTTGGCTAAAGATAATCAAATGAGCCGTTGAATAAAATGTAAATATATAGCAAAATATATAAGGGACACTGATCCTATAAAATGTAAGCAAACGTGTCATTGATCTCGTAAAGGGTAAAAAAAGGCTAATTGACCAAAATGTAAACCAAGTTTGTTGGCGAACGGTAAACAAAGGTAGTTGTATTCGCTAAATGCCAACAAAGGTTGTTGACAAAAGGTCGTTGACCATATAAAATGTAAACAAAATTATCATTCACCCCTTAAAGTTTAAACAAAGGTGTCATTGATCGATAAAAATGGCAACAGGNAATTTCGAAAATTGGCACAGTCAAAGGGTCGTCAAGATCATGTGATTTAACGCGCTAGATTATTTTAAGAGAGTTGAATAGGATTTAACTAAGAGTAGAGGGATTGAGAACAGCAACAACTCTCTATAAAATTTGTTGCAAAATAAATTCAAATGGCTTTGTAATTTGATTATGAAAAGTTAGTATACGAAATAAAATTTTACTGCTCTTGGAAATATGCAATATATAATTAACTGTTTAAAAATATCTGCATACTTTTAGGAGAAAATAAAAACCTAGTTCGATATAATGTTAAAAATGTGTGTTACTCTTTGATTTGATAAAAAATTCTATACAATGTAAATTATCTTATATTTTTACTCACTGAACTGGTTATATTAAGTTTGCTACAAAGTTTGTAACACCCGGAAGGAAAAGTCGTTGACCTTATACGTACAGTGTATGTATAAAAATCATGATTAAGCCCCATTAAATATTGTATAAACAAAAATGTCATTGATCTAGCTGTGAAAAAACGATTGTTGACCTGGCTAAATGTATTCAAAGGATGTTTACTTGGCTAAATGTATTCAAGGGTTGCTTACTTGGTTAAAGGTAAACAAAGCAACATTGAGGCCTTAAACAATTTAAGCAAAGGTCATTGACTTTAAAGCACGTAAAGGTTGCCGACTTGGCTAAAGATAATCAAATGAGCCGTTGAATAAAATGTAAATATATAGCAAAATATATAAGGGACACTGATCCTATAAAATGTAAGCAAACGTGTCATTGATCTCGTAAAGGGTAAAAAAAGGCTAATTGACCAAAATGTAAACCAAGTTTGTTGGCGAACGGTAAACAAAGGTAGTTGTATTCGCTAAATGCCAACAAAGGTTGTTGACAAAAGGTCGTTGACCATATAAAATGTAAACAAAATTATCATTCACCCCTTAAAGTTTAAACAAAGGTGTCATTGATCGATAAAAATGGCAACAGGGTCAGAGCTCCCGTACAGTGAAAATAAATGAAAAATAAAAATTGTCGACTTGGTTAAAAGCGGACAAAGGTGGTTGTATTGGCTAAATGCAAACAAAGGTTGTTGACTTGATTAAAGGTCGATTGATATCATCTTTTTATACCGTTTCTGCTGTAAAAAAGCTTCTGTGAAGAATATTAGAACTTCCGTGCAGCTGATGTGTACACTCTATTAGTGTTATTATATCTTTATAGTATTAATATTTATTAAATTATCATTAAACACAAGTGTAAATAAGTTTTAATCTCAAATTTAATATTTACAGCCTGCATGACCATGACAAACGCCACTTCTCCTATCTGCGCCTAGAAAATTGCAAACAAATATTACACAGCCATTGTCCCCTGAGTTTCGACAGCATATCGCCGTACACCGATGATGTTTGAGAATACACGATTGCAATGAAATAAATTGTTCACACAAATGTTTGATTGCGTGTAAATAAGAGTTGCAATAAATTTGTTATTTTTTGCAAAATAAAATTAATTTTCACTATTTTCATCACAAGCGTGATGTGATAAATCAACACAATTATTTATGCACACACACGAAGGCAAAAATTAAACAACAGCAAATGGTTTTTTAGACAACAAAAAAGCTATAGCCTATTTATGGGCGTTGAAAAGCATGCAAACTACAATAAAATGGCATAAATGTAAATGTATGTGCGTGTTGTTGTTTATTTTTTGCGGTTAATCAATGAATGTGCAATAGTTTGAAGGTCAATGGGCATTTTTTCTTGTTGTTATTGTTATCGAATTTAAAAAAATTCAATTTTTTTGTGTGTGTATTTGTGTGAGTTTTATGCCTTCGGCGAAATGACAAATTAATTTGCTGCATGTTAAAAGCCAAATTGATTGAAAATAAACAATGCTAATGGTTTATGTTTGTTTGTGCATACAAATGTAGGTATGTTTGCCTGATTTGTTTTGCGAAGTTGCTTTTATGGTTATATTTTTATATTTATGTATATTT